GTCACCGGGCAGCGTACAGGTAACAGGGCGGGAAGGTCCCCAACAGCCCAGCTGGACAAGCTCAAGACACTCTGGGGCTCCTTGTTCAGTGGCACAACTCCAGGACCCAGTGAGGGAAACGGGAAGACACCAGGCCGAGCAGTACAGCTAAATCCGTTTATTCCAAAATAAAAAGCAAAATAAACAGGAGTCACATCACCAGGGAGCCATGACCGCATCCTCGCCTCCTTCCTCTGTCCCATCCTCTCAATAAATAAGTTTCCCAGCCACAAATAATTATTAGAACCTTCTCCCCATATGCCAGCTCCAACCTCTGCTAGGCATGATACAGGGGGTGGCTCTACCCCCCGGAATATACAAATGTTACACAGATAATATATGTACATGGGGAAGGGCCCCCACCCCGGCAGCCCGTGCCCTCTCTTGGTCCACAGTTAGCCCTACTATCCCGCCTCATCTGCCTCGTTCCCCCTTGAGGGAAAACAAACACCAAGAAGGAAATATGGGGGTCTGGGCCTTTGTTTCCAGAACAGAGAGACCTGGGCTGGGCACAGAATCTCAGAGCATGAGGAAACAGATCGCACACCCCCAAACTACTGGACCATTGGAAAAGCATAAGCCACATACTCAACTGCAGAACACCTCTGGGCCTGTGCTCCCCACCGTAAAATTCAGTGTCTCCTCTGAGCCGGCAAGGTGAGCCACAGCACCTGGACAGATCTGACCGACTGGGGGTGATGGGTGTGATGGCTGAACAACTCTCTAACAGCAGCCAAGGGTGCTCTGTCAGGCCCCCTTCCCATGCCCATCTCCAGCAGGATCTGCCTTCATTCATGCCCTGTTCCTCTGGCTTTGCAGGAGTCCCCTAGGCAAGTTAGATACAGAGGAAATGCCAAATCACAGCCAGAGGAGGTTGTCTCCAAGCCCCATGTATCCCTGTGCCCTGACTCCCACCAGGCTCCTTGTGCACCTGAAAGATGCTCTATGAGTTCATAATGATGGCCATGAGCTCACTGCTTCCCCTGCCTCCCCCACTCCCCATATGGATGAATGTTACCCATCTTTAATCTTCCAGCCAACCTCAAATGTCACCTCCTCCACCTTCGAGTCCATTCGGAACCAACCTCCCCGTAAGCTGAGCATTTGGAATGTTCCAAACTTCTCTCTTGCCTCCTTCAGAGGAGTCTGACTCCCTCAGTCTGCACCCTCCCTTGTTCAACTATTCTCTCCACTGTTTATTTAGCAAAGTGCCTTTGTTGTTAAATTAATATGGCTAAGTGTCCGTTTGATTTTTAAGAGATTAGGGCCTTGGTCACTCATCTGATTGGTTAACCTCACATCTTTTACAGTTAGTTTCTCTGAAAAAAAGCTTCAGTCCTTCCAACTATAATGTGAACTCATTTTCTCTTAACCCTATGTTCCCTACTCTTAAACCAAAGTGAATTAATTCAAAATAATCACAAGCTTTTATGTGGTCTATAGATCTCTTTGCCTTTAGGGCAAAACCTAAAGGTTGCTTGGGTTTTTTTTTTTTTTTTTTTTTTTTCCCCCATCATTCTTAGTCTAAGAATACCAAACTGGGCATTCAAAATCCCAAGTCCCAGGCCAGGCATGATGGCCCAGCACTTTGGGAGGTGGAGGTGGGTGGATCACTTGAGGTCAAGAGTTCAAGACCAGCCTGGCCAACATGGTGAAACCCTGTCTCTACTAAAAATACAAAGATTAACTGGGCGTGGTGGCAGGTGCCTGTAATGCCAGCTACTCCGGGGGCTAAGGCAAGAGAATCGCTTCAACCCGGGAGGCAGAGGTTGCAGTAAGCTGAGATTGTGCCACTGCACTCCAGTCTGAGTGACAAGAGCGAGACTCAGTCTCAAAAAAAAAAAAAAAAAAAAAAATGCCCCAAATCCCACATGCCTGCTCTGTATGTTATTCCCAAATTACTTTTAAACTTTAAGGTATGTCTCACTTTCTCCAAGATGATAAAATATGCAGGGAAGGAAAACACCCAATCAATCAAGCAGGTGAAGAACAAGACATAAACAAGCTGAAGGTTAATGGCAGCAACATAAAATAAGCCAGAGACAAAGTATCCCACAAACCAGAGAAACCTCAGGGGCACGCACAACTGCAGAGAGCAAGCCAGAGGGGTCTTGGCACAGCTTCACCTTCCACTTGTCCAGTGGGAGAGCACTACCCCAATGGAATGGTTAAAGGTGGACACCAGCACCTTCAAAATGTCCTGAATCTACAGGAGGTGAAAAGGTAAAAACAAAGGCAGGGGGAGAAAGCTAGAAATGGCTCAGAGAGAAGCAAGGAAGTCAGGAAAGGAGGAAGATGTGGGTCCAGGGAAATGAAATGTTGAAGAAGAGCAGAGATCAAAACCATGGCCTGTGCCGTTCTTCCAAACGGCCACCTGCTGCCTTGCTGGGGCAGGAACAAATAGATGGAAAAGTCTCCTGAGAAATGCAGTCACAGAATGGAGTCACTTGACCAATGCAGTTCTTAATACACTCAGTGGAGCCCTCTCCTCAGGCCCAGGATGTGGGTGATGAATCTAGTAGAGCTCCAGACCTCAACCTCCATTTAAAAAACCAGACTTCTGAGTAAGGGTTCACTTGAACAAAGCGGGCTTCAGCTAAAAAACAAGTTTTAAAGACACTGATCTTATCCAGTATCATCTTACAGAGGAGGAAACTGAGGCCCAGGGGACAAAGTGATTTTTCTGTGGTCACCAAGCAAGCTAGTGGCAAGTTAGATCTTCTCTTAATTCAAGTGCCTGGGGCTCTCCTCACCACACCCTGGGGCCCTTTCAGTGACTTCTAAAGGGACAGACTGATGGCAAGTGGCTGTTCTCATTGGCCTGGCTTCTCCTTGAGACTGGGGATGAGGAAAATCAAACAGCAACGACCTTTTACTGGGTGTTCTGGGTGTTTACAGCAGGCCATGTTCTAGGGATTAACATAAAAACAACAGCAATAACAAATCACATTTAAACTTCACAAATGGAAGTCAAGCAACACCACTTCTATTTTACAGATGTGAAAAGAGGGGCCCAGAAAGCTCAAACGACTTGCCCTAAATCATATCCCTAGCATATGGAGAAGCAGGTTTCAAGCCCAGAATTCTTCACCAGTGCCTGGCAGTTCTTCCACAATCTTAACAACTACCCTCTACTGCCCCTTGGGCCCCCTGTGCCCAGGAGCCTGACCAGCCAAGACTCACATCTCCAGGTGAGTGGAAACCACCAGAAGTGGTTGTCTCAGGGTTACTGCTGTGTTTTTCTTTTTTCTCTTCACTCCTGCTGGAACACCAGGGCTGTTCCTCTGCTGATACTCTTTTAACTGTGGGAAAGAAGAGCAGTAATACGCATGAGAACAACAAAGCCTTACAGTCATATCCTCCTTTACAGTTTTTACAAAGTACTTTTATACACCATCTGATTTAATGCCACCAACAACTGTACAAAGTGTTGTCGCAATCACGTAGTGACTGAGAGGGACTGATATCATGGCTTAAAAAATAAAAGGCAATACTGGACCTTAAACTCAGTCTTCTGACTCCAAGCTCTGGGGTTTTGCCATGAATCAGCAGCTGCCAGGGATCAAAACCAGAGGCAGAGGTAGAACAGTAAACATTAAGGAGGCAGGAACTGTACACTGTGTGGTTTGGAGTCATACATCCTCACACATCTGTTAGTGTTAAGAAGTGCACCTGGCCAGGCACGGTGGCTCAAGCCTGTAATCCCAGCACTTTGGGAGGCCAAGACGGGCGGATCACAAGGTCAGGACATCAGGACCATCCTGGCTAACACGGTGAAACCCCATCTCTACTAAAAAATACAAAAAACTAGCCGGGCGAGGTGGCGGGCGCCTGTAGTCCCAGCTACTCGATAAACCCGGGAGGCGGAGCTTGCAGTGAGCTGAGATCTGGCCACTGCACTCCAGCCTGGGCGACAGAGCAAGACCCTGTCTCAAAAAAAAAAAAAAAAAAAAGAAGTGCACCAGTACCTCTCAAACTTTTATATCAATGTGTCCTCATGGCAGAAGGCAGCCTTTCTCTTAAAGCTGGGAATTTATAAGAAAGAGAACAACTTAACCCTCATTTCAGAGAGGTCTCATTTCAGAGAGGTTCCTAGAAACCTATGTGACTGTCATCCCTAAGTACATTAATGTTTTTTCTCTTTCAAGAGAATCAAGGGAAACTGATGCTTCAGAAAGATGTCTCACATTTATCCTGTGGCACTCAAAGTACCCCAGGTTGAGATGGTATGAGGAAGATTCAAGCTGTCAAGTTCAGTTTCTCAAGATCTATTCCACAGAAGATGAGCAGCTCTCACTCCAGAGACCACTGACTGAAGGGCAGTCTGGTCCCAGAACCATGGAGAATTAGAATATGAGGTGAAAAACTCAGAAAAAAATGTTAAAGTATCTCTGGAGAGTAAAAGTCTGGGAGAAAACCAAACCAGACCCACTCTCCCATTGCCACCCAGAGATATTGTTAATGTTTTGAGCTCATGGGGGAATTGTAGGCTTTTCACACTGTCAATGTCTATGTTAAGGGATTAAGACAGCCTGAAAACTCTCATTCCCGTGTCCCATAGTCCCCATTCCCCTTCTGGGTGGAAATTTATGCTTCTAGCAGAGGAGCCAGAAATGGGGTGAGAACACTTAGGGGACTCGGTTGTAAGATCAAAGGCCAGTCTTGGAGCAGTAACGACAGTTCCTAGGGGGATGGTGACATCACTACATTCCACTCCTCCTGGGGAGTGGGGAGCCACATCAGCACGATGCCTGAGTCACTGATTCACAGTCGGGGAGGAGGACGCAGGGCTAGGAACCAGGTACTTGGAGACACCAGCCCAAAGAGCCTAGGGAGGTCAGGATTGGGGCAGCCGGATGAGAGGCAGAGACTGCAGCAGGGAGCCCCAGATGTCACCAGCCCAAAGTTACCCAGGGTGACTGGCGAGGGCAGGGGCTTTGGCTGGGGGACCCAGGTCCTTGGAGACCTCAGCCCAAAGAACCTAGGGAGGTTGGGCTTTGGGCAGTGGGAGGTAAGGGCCGAATATGGACTGGGGGGCCCCAGGAGTCACCCACCCAAAGTCATCCTGTGGTGACTGGCAAGGGCAGGGCTTAGGCTGCTTGCTGAAGGGGC